ATACTGTGATATCACGAAACGTGGACGTGAACTACGTAGCCGATGTCCACGCTTTGCCAAGTGGGTAATGCAGATTTACGAAATTTTGTGTCGAACGTACTTCTTTTCCCTTATCGCATTTTCTCGTCAAATCACGCGCGACATTCATCCCGACAAACCGTAGAAATCAATTAATATAATTACGGATCGCGACAATTACTTAAACGCGATTGATAAATGTTAGTAACTTTCGTACAGGACAATCAGTACGGGCTGGATTCACATGGAGCGTAACTTGCGTAGCGTAACCTGCGTGTCACCAATCACAGGGTCATTCTGATAGAACCGTTTCAATAATTCCGTTGAAATAGTTCTGTGATTGGTGATACGCAGGTTACGCTTACGCAAGTTAAGCCCATCACACAATGCCAGGCAACAGGAACAGGGGCTCGATTCTTGAATTTATTCGAAGGAGAAACGTATGCGAAAATTCTGCTCTTAAGCCCGCTGCAGACGATGCTATTTTTCCTGCTGGATTGCTTGCAATTTACTAAACTACTAGGAATCCTGAGTGCTGATTGGTGCAACGATAGTAATTTACTAAATCGCAAGCAATCCAGCAGGAAAAATAGCATCGTCTGCAGCGGGCTTTACAGAAAAGTTGCAAGTTGATTGGCTACTCGCATGGCTTTAACCAATAGACTTTCAACTTTTCTGTTAGAGCAGAGTTTTCGTATACGTTTCTTCTTCGAATGAATTCAAGAATCGGGCTCCTGGGAATAGAATTTCTAAGTCCCAGTCTACAATAGAGATTTAAGCCCTAAGCCTTAAGAAATTGACTAATCACAGTCGCGCATTCTTCTCATACTTGACCGTGATTGGCCAATTTCTTAAAGCTTAGGGCTTAAATCATCTATTGTAGACTGGGACTAAGTCCCAGTCTACAATAGATGATTTAAGCCCTAAGCTCTAAGAAATTGACCAATCACAGTCAAGTATGAGTAGAATGCGCGACTGTGATTAGTCAATTTCTTAAGGCTTAGGGCTTAAATCTCTATTGTAGACTGGGACTAAAGCCCGTATCGGACTACGGATTGGGATTGGGATTAGATTGAAATTTAACCAATCACAGTAAAGTTTACTAATCTCAAGTTCAGTAACTTTTACTCTGATTGGTCAAATTTCAATCTAATCCCAATCTCAATCCGTAGTCTGATACGGGCTTAACGCGTTGGATTGGTTGGAAGAAAATTTCCGACGAATCCAACGCGTCAGAAATTCTATTCTGTTCCTGTTGCTTGGCATTGTGTAATAGGCTTTACGCTCCATGTGAATCCAGCCGCACGTTACGAGGAGATACGCAAAGACACACGGGACATTCGCCTCGCTCGACTGATACGCGCCGAATGACTCGGCTCAACAGTGAACAGTGTTTTTCACCGAGGTGTTTACGCCAGACGCTACGTCATTTCGTGGAATCCGGCGCTCGGCTCCCGACCGAGTTGTTTACGACGCTCGGCGAAACAAGGTCACAGTCACACCGTACGCCGTACGCCATATCAGTTACGCGGCGACAGTTGAACGAGTCTGTTGCGACCGCGCCGCTCCGCGTACCCGTATTGTTCCTGCCCGAATACGCGTTCGCGACAAGCGCGGAAAGAAACCGCGATCGCTCTCCGCGATTGATCCAGTGATCAATGTCGTCGCGCGATCGCTAAATTCCCGCGATTCGCCATCGACGCTCGGTCGGCCGGCGAGACTCATTTCCGTTACAGTGATTCGTGCGGATATCAAAGTGACGGTGTGATCGAACGGTTCGCATTAGCGCTCGGTGACAATCGAGCACAGCGCAGATCGAAGACCGCAGTGGCATGCGGATAAAGTGACTTCTCGCGAGTGCGCCAGAGGACAGCCATGAGGACAAGAACGCCTGAGAGGAGGACACCTGCGTGGAAGAGGACACCTAGGATAGACATCGGACGCCATCGCAGGATCAACGTGGACACAACTCCGTTGCTGCGCATCGTGTCGGTGAGTGACACGTTTCTTATCGAGGTAACGGAATCCACATTTTGTACGGCGGCTGCGTTCGGCATTGCAAATCCGAGACGTCTGAGTGCTCTCTCCCTCCTTCTCTATCTCATTCCCCTCTCTCGTTCACTCGAATGCAAAAGAGCACTCCGACGCCTCGGGTTCGCGATGCCGAACGCAGTCTATTGCGAGGAGCAACGATTCGCTGGGTCATAGTAGTGGTTCTAGTTTATCGACGTGACTTACCGGCGGGTCGATAAATTAGAACTACTACTATGACCCAGCGAATCGTCGCTTGCACCAGATGGGCACTGAGGGGCAAAGTGTGCGAAGGTCTCGATTTCACCCGGGCGTCCGGCCATCTGTCTATTAACCTGTGCCGTGGCGGTTCTCGGGCGAACTTGTCTTGACTTGTCTCTGCACGAGTGTTCGATAACCTGCGACAGCAGGTGCGGTCTAATCGACGTCACAGCGCTGACGGTAGGGACGATCCGTAAGTTTCCTCTCCGTCGCGGAGGTCCGGGTGCCTTTAGCTGCCCTCGCCGCGATTCGCCGTCGCAGGTGAATGTCGCCGAATTGCATACGCGGTGAATTCCAATCCCGCGAATTTTAGGTTAGAAAGAGCGCTCCGGGCGCGCTTCCCCGCGGCCTTCACCCGTTTGCCCTTGTTGCTCGCGCGTTGAACTGCCGGGCGACGACGAGTCTGATTTGTAACATTGATTTCAGAGTCGTACAGCACGACGCGAATTCATGAACAGCATAGGCGAGGCATGCAACGAGCTGAAGCAACAGTACGACGCCTGCTTCCACACGTGGTTCTCCGAGAAATTCTTGAAAGGTGACACGAGTGACAGCACATGCTCGCACTTATTCAAAATGTATCAGCAGTGTGTCAAGGTAATTAAAGCGGCATTGTATCCTTAGGAAATCCGCAAGTGTATAACGCATGAGAGGGAGAGAGAGCGCGCGAAGGGTAAAAAGAGCGAGGGCGCAACATGGAGGATTGCAGTGAGTTGAAACAGAAGTACGACGCCTGTTTCAACAATTGGTTCTCCGAACGGTTTTTAAAGGGCGATACCAACGATTCGGTGTGCGCTCCCTTGCTTAAAGTCTATAAAGATTGCGTGGCGGTAAGTTCCGAGAGGCTCTCCCTTCTCGCAGCACGTCGGATTTGCGATATGCTGCCGATCGTTCGGGGAAACGGGGTTTTCTTTAGAACCTCTCGGGCGGAAAGCTAGCGAGAGGTGAGTAACTGTGCGCTCTCGTGTTTTAGAAAGCCATGAAGGAGCACCACATTGAGCTGAAGGACATGGAGGCGAATTATCTGGAGACCGAGAAGGAGAAGAAGCCGCACAGTTGACATAGAGACGTTCGCACATTCTAGATCCCACGTAGCTTTTTCATGAGTCACCGGCGACGTAAACTTTGGAACTCGGACGTCATTCCTACTTTTTTTGTAAACAGCCAAGTTAAACTGAGCCCGTGTTCATTTTAATCGATACTTAATGTTATTAACCGGTCGTCGCGCTATTATCGCCGAATGTTTTACACACTTTATTTGTAATGTTGAATTGTGTATCAAGTGAAAGTGTATATATAATGTCTGTGGTACTGTCACGTAATATACATATATATGTGTCGAGTGCAAATTTAATTCTATAATTTCAGCAACTTTATTAATTCTTCGATTTTTCTTCAGAGACCTACACTTTGTAGACAAAACTAGATAAAGTAATTTTAATTGTTGTAAACTAAATGTCACTGGGTAACATAAAAATAAATGATTTACAAATGGAGCTAGTGAATAGATAGAAAACTCTACACTTCCTCGTTAAAAGAGAAAGAGCACGGGAAAATTTGCTCAAAGCAACAGAGCAGAATTAAAATGCAACGCAGTAAATTGTTTACACAGCACTCGGATCTTGAATTATCAGTACTTTATAATATCATATAAGGTTGGTATACACACAACTTTCTAATATTAATCTATTTAAAGAAATGCTCATTTCCTTGTGATTATAAATATAAAAATGTAATTCATTTTCAAAATTTTAATAGTGAAGTACAAATTCGATAAGTAATACACATCTGACAAAAACGGGAACGTCTACTTAAATTCTTGTAACATATATTAATCGCTGTTAGATTCCACATCGGACGAGGATGGAGTACTCTCTATGGGTTCTTCCGCATCGCTCTCGTCCGACCGACTTCGTTTCGCCTTCTTCGCCGGCTTTTTCCCAGTATCCTCGTCGCTTGCATCTGACGGACTTCGTTTCTCCTTCACCGTCTTCTTCCCAGCATCCTCGTCGCTCGCATCCGACTGACCTGGTTTCTCCTTTTTCACCGTCTTTTTCCCAGCATCTTCCACCGGCTTCTTCTCGGGTCTTTTCTTCTTCTCGTTTTCGCTCTCATCGGAACGCTTCTTTTCGGACTTTTTGCTCTCGTCGCTGCTACTATCGTCATCGCTAATATACTCTTTGCTTTTGAAAGATGGGCCAGTCATTTGTTTGCCAGGCGACTCTTTCTTAGTTTCCTTCTTCTTTTTCTCAGTCTTCTTTTCCTTAAAAGCTTTAGCACCCCCGCTCGCTTCGTATTCCTTCATCGATGCCGCATATTCCTTTTTGGCCTTCGCCGCCTTTGCCTCCCATTCAGATTTGTCCTTGAGCTCCCGCCACATCTCGCCTCCCATTTTCGCAATTTCCGTCACGGCTATTCCCGGATTGTTCGCCTTGATTTTGTCGCGCGAGCTATTCAGCCACAGCATGAACGCCGTTGGGGGCCTCTTCGGCTTGTTCGCGTCCCTCTCCTTCTTCTGTTTCCTCTGCTTTCGCGGTTTCTCCGACACCGTTTTCGCCGACTTGGATTTCTTCTCCTTCTTCTCTTTCTTGTCCTTCTTGTGACTAGTCGCAGACGCGTCGGAAGCTTCCTCGCTGTCAGAACTGTTGGGATTACTGTCGTACTCCTCTGCGACGTCACTTTCATCTTGATTCGGATTGAAGTCTTCATCGGTCGAGCCTTCCTCGGAATCTTGATTCTCCCCGCCGTCGCGTTCCTCCGCCTCCGCCTTGACTCGCGCCAAGTAAGCGTCTGGCTCGTCCTCCTGATCGCTGTCACCAAAGTCCTCGTCGTAATTGAGCTTGTCGCTCTTGCCGCGATTCTTGACACGCAATTTCTTCGCCGTGATAAAATCGAACAATTTACCATACTCCTCCTTTTCAATGCTGCTAAATGTGTGCACCACTCCACTGGTAAGCTCGATCTCGAAATCAAACGACCTAGTCGAGCCGCCGCCACGGGCAAAGTTTACCGAGGCTATTTCCTCGAAGCGAATGTGTATTGGAGGTTTGTGCACGTAAATAAAACCTCGCTCGAGCGGATATAGATACCCTGCAGCGGCTTTGAAGGAGCAACCGATGGCGGGTGTCCCGCTGTGACCGGTGAAGTGTCCAGGCCCGGTCAACTTTCGGTTTATGATCACTTTCATCACCTGAAACAAGAATCTCCGTAAACAACCACCAAGATAAAAATACAGAGGCAGGAGAAAGATGTCTATTCTTTCACTGACCTTGCCGAGTACCTCGTACGTGGATCCCGATAACTCTTTAGTCAGCTTATCGTCATACTTTTCCTTTAATTCCTTCTCGGTAAACGGCAACTCGATCGAGGTCTCCTCTTCCTGATTGAAGAGCAGAACCAAGTAGTGATACCGCGTCTGGCCTTGCTTGATAGGTGGGTCCAGGCTCACGACGAAGAACATTTGCCGACTGTCCTTGTGCGGCAGCAAGAAGAGCCTCAGTACGGTGGACATGGGTATTTTGTAATCGAAGGTTTTACCGTGCAGCTGGAAAAAGCTCTGGAAGATCTTGATGTCGTAACGACCACGCGGCGTTAGACAGTGAATCTCCCTGAATATCGCAATTGCGTCCCCGCTTACGCTGATAACAGATGCCTTCTCCATAACCTGTCGCGAATCAAGAAACAAATTACTCTTCTGCTTTCGGTTTTATGCCTGCGAGTGTATCGCAGCACTTTGTCTAAATTCTCTCTCACCTGCTGATGGAACGCCTCGACGTGGTCCTGATCAGTGCTGTCGCTGACAGGAATGTGAAACCTCATCTCCATCAGGCTGACCGGGGCGTCGTCGTTCTGATGGAACTCCAGCGTCACCTCGTTCTTCCCCGTATTACACTGAGACACGTCGTACAAGGGTATCTCGAAGGCGGTGTGGTGGCCGACGTCGAAGCTCAAGACGGAACCGTTGAACTTTGCGGTGCCCCAGTTCCAGCCCTTCAGGCTCAGCTCCTTCTCCAACATGTCCTTCTTGTAATTGGCGGAGAAGAACTTGGCGATCTTCTCCTGCTCGCTCTCCTTGAAGCCCTTGAAGCGATGCAGAGTGCCGTTCTTCAGGAAGATGCGCAGGCCCCAGGTGCCGATGAACTTCTGGTAGTTGACCATCTCCATGTCGGAGGCGGAGATCTGCTCGACCTTCCCCGTCTTCTGATTCTTGAAGATGAGGTGCTGGTCGGTCAACTTCAGCCTGCCCGGCGTCTAGCGGTGAATTGACAGAGAAACGATTAGCGTACGATCATTTTGACGTCTCATGCACAATTATCAATAGAATTATCTACCAGAAAAGTTTCTTTTTCATTGCGAGACATGGTGAAGACGCAAAATCGACAATTTGATCATCTTCAAAGCATGTTCTCTCGGTGGAACAGAGGACAGAGCTGAACGACTTGAAGATACCTTTGCTAACTTTGCGTAATTAGAAACTGATCGCCGTTCGAGTGTTCCGTGCCGATCAGGAAACACGGCGTTGCGTTTATTGACAAGGCTCGATTGCGCGACGTTGTTTAATCGTTTTAAAAGCGGGGACTCACCATAGCGCCCTTAACCTCGGCGAAGATGTCCGGGTACTCCAGGAAGTCCATCCTGAGGGATTGTCCGAGGTCCTCAGTCGAGCGGTCTAACGGCGAATGTTATCTCGGTAGGTTTCGGTCCCCGAACGACAAACGCGTAACAATAAATCGGACATGTGTTCTTTATTACTGACGGGAGTTTACACACGCAATACGCGGCAACGCTTATTAGGGAAAGATGGCGGTTGTAGAGGAGGGAGAGCGTTGCCAATCGCTGTCGATTGATACGCGATTGGCCGCCGAGTAGGGACTTTGGAACCACCCGTAAGGTTCTACGCTCGTTAGCCAGTCGCGTGCGACGTTGGATGTGTTCGAAAATGGATTTAGTTACTGCCAGTGAAAACAGTATAGTTGGTAGCAATGAAAATTACTGATGCTGCGTTTTTCGCACGCCAGTAAAGTCAGTAAAGCCCGCTGCAGACGATGCTATTTTTCCTGCTGGATTGCTTGCGATTTAGTAAATTACTATCATTGCACCACTCAGCATT